CCATAATGTTATCAGGCTATGTCAAGACGTTTTGATATTTACTAGTTTAACTGAATATATATTCCTGATATCTGAAAAACAAATTATTCACATCTAGAATAAACATTCTGGATGTCTATAAATCAATTTCAGATCTACATATTCCTAATATTACTGGTCAGCATTTGCATTATTTTAATTATTTTAAATGTTTTTCAGGTATCATAAATACCTGTTCAGTCCAGCTGATAAATGTCAGAACGCCTTTTAAAATGTGTAAACATTTGTAGATATATGAAACTTTATTCTTATTGGTATAATTTTTTTTTTACTTTCTAAAATTCAATTTCTGCTACAAAAATGTAATTTAGAAAATATATTCTTACAGTTCAGTGTAGGAGTGTGATGAGGAAGAATCTTATTTTGCTGATCTATGCCGGTAGAGCTGTCCATGCCTTTCAGTCGGACAGGATTTGATCTGTAGATGAAGCCGCATGTTTGATAACCAACACTCTGACTCTTCTGGGCCTCAGCTAGGGAAGGAGAGATTTCACAAATCCCACCATTTCGACTTTTCCGGAGGAATTCCCATGCTGATGGGGATGGAGAAGGCTGGGATTGGAGGAGATCCTTTAGTCGGCCAGAAGATCCCGTCCAAGTATCCCGGCGTTCCCAGAGGAGAGGGCAGTGATGGACCACCATGGTTAGCCTTTGACCAACAGGTAAAGCTGGTTGGGTTTGAAGGAGCTCCTCTGTGATCAACTGCTGATCAGTTATGCTAACGTTGAAACGTTTTCACACCATGTTTAGATTTTCATGTTCTTTAAACTCTCATTCCCATGAGACGTTCCCGTCTGCGGTTCCTGTTTCCACCCTGGGATCAGCTGTGGCTCCCAGTTTCCAAACTGGGGCCTGCAGGCTGTACCCAGTACAGATGACCAGTATTTCCTGTTATTTCCTGGACCTCAGCATGTCTTTAACATTTCTATAAGGCAGACACGGGCAATGTGGAGTCAACAAGTCATCTCCATGTCATGTATTTGTTCTACCCAGCCACTGAAGCAGGTGAGTCCAATCTTCACCGTGAATTAACCTGTGCAGATTGGACTCACCTGGTTAATTGGCTGGGTAGATTAAATACATGACATGGAGATGACTTGTTGACTCCACATTGCCCATGTCTGCTATAAGATTCATGTGTTCTTTCCTTTCTCATTGTCTTTTACTCGTCAGATTTTCTGTCTGTATTTTAAAATGAAAGTAAACAGGACCTGATTTATCCAGCAGCCTTTTCTTTCACCACCTGAAGGGAAGAGAATCTTTCTGGATAAATAATCCATCATGAGTCAGAGTAGCGCCACCTCTTGGCGCTGGATCCAACGTGGGCTTTTTAGCCGTACAGTGTGAGCAGGTAGATTGCATCAAAGCATGGAACAAACATGGTGAGCTGTGAACTTCCAAACCCTGTGGTTTGGTGGTACAGTGTGAGCTGTAGCTGTGAGCAGTGATTGAAAACGTCCCGCCGTGTATGTCCGGCTTTAGCCTAGAGGCTCGCTCTGTCCAGCCTCTCCTGGCTCTGTCTCCCTGGCAGGCCTCTCCCCAGTACCGCGGCCCTACTGATGGCCAAAGGCTAATCATACCTTACCAAGGAAAAAGGAAACTTAACTATCTAAACTTTATCCCCTTTCTACAATTTCAGGTTCAAAGGTTGTTTTTCTAACCAGCTTTGTCTCGTCTCTATGAGGGGACGTATCTGATGTATGTTCGTATATAAAGACGCAGTCGTTTACTCATTCCTAGGGAAGATGATGAAGCCCTAACCGTGTGGGCAGTCTGTGAGCGCTGTTGGTTGAAGGTGGGGGGGTAACAGGGTCTTTGCCAATCTTGGACATTCATAGTCTGTCATGTTTCCTATTCTTTGGTAAGTTGTGAACATGAACTTTCCAGTTCCCCTCAGTGGGATCTTGGTCTGGACTTTGACGTGTCCACCTTGGCACCTTCGTCGGCTTAGATTGAACTGTTCCATGTCCTTCTGCTTTGGGAAGTTCAACCTTCTCCTCTGTCTCCTGCAGCCTCTAACACCTTCGGACAGGTTTATTCTCACCTGCTCCTCATGACTCCTTTGTCCCCCACATGACTTTACATCTGCTAAACCGGCAGGTTTCTTTCTTCCAGCCACTCCTCCAGGTTAGAATAGAGGAAATCTACTAGTTGTTCTGTGGTCACACTGTTCCACCTGAGCTGTGAATGTCTGCAGCTCCTCCTCAGTTTCCGGCTGACTCTGTGAATACAGCTGAGGGGTTTGAAAGCAAGGCGTTTTATCACTGAATGTTCTTTAGCTAAACAGCAGAACTTTGATGTGTTTAATGTGGCCTAAGCGTTCCATAATGTCCCTCCAGGTTCTCTGCTTTGAGGCGTTTTATCAGGAAACTGTCCCCGATGCAGAGCTGGAGATGCAAAACATCCGAAGGTGCAAGATCTACTTCTACTTGGAGGACGGGACCATCCAGGTGGTGGAGCCAAAAAGCAAGAACGGCTGCGTTCCTCAAGGTTTCACTGATCCCTGTGAAAAGTTCCCGCTGTGATGATGAAGCTGTTTCTAAAGCTGCTGAATCCTGGTGCAGGAACTGTGATCCGCCGCCACCGCATTCCTCTGCCCGACCAGCACCAGTTCTACAACGTCTTCCACTTCAACATCAACCAGGAGGTGGTGTTTTACGCTCGCACCTTCAAAATAACCGACTGCGACTCGTTCACCAAGAACTTCCTGACCAACCTTGGAGTGCTGCTGAACGAGCCGACCGCGGCGCCGGAGCACCCTTTCAGGACGCTGCATCAGAAGGTAGGTCGCAGAGGAAGAGCCGCCCATAATTGCTTCCGCTGTCCATAGCGTTCCTTGACCGTGTCGTTTCTAAGTCACCAATTTAGTGATACTTGGTCCCAGTGGAATTTCCCATTGGGAACCTGCTAGCACTAAGATGCTAACTGGTTAGCAATTTAGTGCTACTTGGTCCCAATGGAATTTCCCATTGGGAACCTGCTAGCACTAAGATGCTAACTGGTTAGCAAGATGCTTCCCATAAACCGGCCACAACCAAACTGCTTGCCAACCTTCCGCCACAACAATAATAATAATGGACCAATCACATTCACTTTATTCAGTCGTGTAAAGTCGGGCACCACTGGGAGAATTCGGAAATGCAACGATTGGACCAGCCGATTCCCTACGATTTCCTACGACTTTAAGAGGTCCTGTAACTTCGCCATATTGCTTAAAGTGAGTCAAAAATTAGATTTTTGGGAAACTCTTTCAGCCCTGCTGGTGTTTTTATTTCTAAGTTAAACTAATTTTAACATCCATTAAATGTTCAATCCTTTTCTCTTCCACCAGTAAAAAACAAACTATATTTTACTTTGAAAGAACTTCATTTTTTAAATGGCTGAAATGTTTTTGCATGACTGAACGAGTACGGTCATTAAACCGGGTTATTTAAGGCGTTAAATATGTAGAAAAGTTTTTAATCTCTCAGCCGAGGTTCATTCAGACCCCATCAGGGCAGATCTAACAGGAGACGAACATTCAGGCCCCACTTCCTGTCTCACACTCTGAGGAAATAAAGTGGATTTCAGTGACATTTCACTTCCTGCTCTGATGTCTTATTTGTGTCCCTCTTTTAGTCTGAGGACAGCATGAAGCCTCTCAGGCAAAACCGGGACAAGTTCCAGAAGTTCCTCAAGAACGACGGGAAAATCCTTCGCTTCCGCTGCTTCTGGGAAGACACAGTGTTTGGAGACCAGCAGGAGCTGATCCTTCTCTACTACCTGGCTGATGACACCATAGAGGTCTTCCAGGTGGTTCCAAACTCAGGAAGACAACATGTCCCCAAATTCTTAAGTCGCAGCAAACTTCCAAAGGTGAGGAGTCTCTGACAGACTGACCTTTCCTGTTCTCTAGATACCAAATAGGTTTCAAAATGATAGATGGATGAAACTAGATTGAACAGGTTGTGATGTTGAAGCCAAATGACAGCAGGAGACAGCAGGACCATGATGGAGCGTCCAGAAGTAGATGGTCACCTCCTTTGCTCTGCCCTTCGTCCCTCAGCTGCTCCTCCTTCCCTACAGCTTCTTTATGTTTATCCTGCGTTTAGAGCTGGACAGGTTTTATCTAGAGCACCTGGAGACTGGCAGCCCTATGTGTGGGTCAGGGCTGCCTCAGTGCCTTTTAGCCAGGGTCGGTCTTAGCGGGTCAATGGGGAATCTGCTTCCTTCTCCTTCCTCTGTTGTGTCCAAAACGTTGCTCTGTTTTCTCCACAGCGCCCTCCGGTTCGAATGAAGCTCCCAGGAGAAGCCATTGATCCCTCTGTGCTCAACCCGTTGGCCCCCATGACACAGGTAGAGCGCTTCATGCTGGGCGGCCATCATGTAGGTCCAGTCTGAGCACAGGTGAACCAGACACCTGCAGTAACATGAGGGCTGTACCAGCTGTAGACACCTATCAGAGAAAGGCAGCATAGACTGCGTTCACCCCTGTTTCTAAAAAGCTCCTAGCACCAAATCTGCTTCTGGAGACTTTGGAGACAACATCTAAAAGCAGCGAACTCTGCTCTCCAGAGCGAGTAGATTGGTAACCCCGCCTCCTGCTCTCCTCTATCTTGTCTGCTGTCATGATTCATGCAGCTATTATTTCATCCAAATGA